CGGTTGTTGTTGTGGGGGGGTGTGGGGGGTGGGGGGGGGGGGGGGGGGGAACAATTATTCTTTTTTGGTTTTTCTTTAAACCAATTATTTCTTAATTTCTCTGAGTATTCCCCTGTTGTTATGTAAGTATTGAGTAATCAATCATTTTGCATTTACTTTTGCCATTCATCTGCCAAGCTAGTAAAAACACTACCAGATGAAAAAATTCGCAAATTGGTATAATAATCATTATAACATTGCCAGCATTTATCAGTAGTGCTATGTGCGGTGTCCATTTCTCTGCCCCTCACAGCTGTATCAGGAATAAAGAGCAACATACGCATTTAGTAACAAATACTAAGTTCTTATATAGGATTTTCAGCTCGCCCATCATTATATCAGTTTGTCTTTCATTATCTCTAAATCAAAAAATTGAGAACTTAAGCACAGAAGGGTAAAAGATTGCCAATGAAGCCAGCTAGGACAAAAATCTACCTAATGTGTCACCTCACCTAACTCGTTTTCTAATAAGCGAATGCAGATATCTCTTCACAGCAAGTTTAGCCAAAAGATGGCTGTAGACACTGGTGAAAATTCCATCAGCATGCCTTGCATTTCTGAAATGGACAATAAATAAACTCTACAACACAACCTGGGTTCATATCATTTTGATAACCTTCATTTTGTAAATATACTGCTTTCCTTATCTATCGTACACACTGAATTAAGCTAATTTCATAAAACAACTTCCAGATTTTCACAATATACTTTCTAGCCCTTCCTGGCAAGTGAATGAATTCATCATGCTAGAATGGCAATGCAATCAACATTTCTGCAGACATTCCTACTGCAACCAGAGGCCATGTGCTTTTTTTCCCTGTAATTGATTATCCCTTTCCTATTTCTCAGTTTGAAAATGTGACCAATTTTTTGACGTAATTCAAGTAGCGTGTCATCATTTGTATTTATGACAATAAAGAAACTCACCTATCAATAATTCTGGACAGATCAAAATAGAATTTCTCATTTTCAGGTAGTGTGTTCTGCAAAATGTCTGATTCAGACTTTAATGACCCATGGGCATGGTCATGTTCACTGGCTCCATCAAATGGCATTCTGTTTCCCAATCTGTTGGAGAAGGAAATCATGTCAAGTACAGTCAGCTGAGGATGTGCAACACTTCACTGCAGCTTATAGACTGGTTTCTGTCAAAATGCACATCTACCTGCTTTAATCTGTGAGGCATTTTAAAGTAGGCTGGATAAAACAAAAATCACTTTCAGGTATAATCCATGCTCAGTAGCAACCGACGTAACAGATCATTCCCTCTAATGCACATTTTCTAGACGTAGGTTGTCAGTGCTCACAAGTTTTTCCAGTGAACAGTGCATAATATATGGCAATTACAGCTCAAGTCACAAATATATTTTATATAAACAGTGGATGGAATTACAAGCCTCCACCAATGCAAAGTGAAAACAGTCCCTGCAAAGTACTTACCTTCCAATTAAGACTTAAAACATGCATTGAAATGCAGTATGAAACAGTATTAGGCCGTGTCTAGAGAAAGTAAATACACCTTCAAGAACTTCAAACTAAATATGAAGTACAGGCATGTATCTTTACATGGGTTTATTCTCTCATGTTTAAATTAATTTGCTAATTGCAAGTTAAAAAAGGTTCACATTTAATCTCTTAATCATGGCAATTGCTCTATATAAACTGATTTACAGTTACTTCATATTTTCATAACCTGCTGTTTCTTATGGTTTGTCGTATTTTGTCAAGGGCAATTTGACTGTGCAGCAGTAGTTTGGTATCAGATGTTTCTTCTAGCTGCTCTTATGTTCAGTGGCAGACAAGAGGCTCCCATTACTACAGTAAAACCCTGCATGTGATGATGTGCAAAAAATACATTCTAAAACTAGGATAGGTTACTGTCACTGTAATTTTAGCTATTATTCATTATATCTATTAGTGCTACTTATATATCTGAGGCATGTAACACTTCTGCCTGGTAAAAAAAAAAAAAAAAATAAAGTCGTGTAAAATAAGCCAGCTCAAGTCACTTTTTGAAATCAGTGACCATGCTGTTTTGCTATACTGTTTTCCACTGGTCTTTTACACTTTATGTTCCTCTTGCCGAAATGTAAAATCTACATTTCTGCCATCTGACTTAATTTAGTTCGACAGCTAATAACAGCTTCAACAATTGAAAGCATGCAGCAGTACTAAAACTACACGAGTCCATACAGACCACTTCCCCTTATTCGTGATGAAGGAATTTTTAGTATTCATATTAGTCGGAGGTAAAGGAGATTTCACGCAAGAAAAGCCCGGGCTGCTTAGATGGACGTGCATTGTCTCCTGCAGCACATTTCGACACACGTCCTCTGCTGGTGCGTGTCTCGGGGCTTTTAAAAGGCAGGTTGGTGGGCACCAGCCGGGCTCGGCCAGCGATGCTCCACCCCAGTCTGGGGCGCGGAGATGCGCACCTGGGCGAGCACCCCGACGGGGAGCGCAGAGCCGCTCTGTGTGCTGGCTGGGAGAGCAGCACAGTGGAAGACTGGTGCTTCCCACAGCCCCCTCGGCCTCTCCTGCGGAGGGCAAGTCCCGGCGGCGCCCGGAGCGGAGCAGTGTGCGGGGCGGAGCGCGGCCCTT